CAAAAATTTTGTTATTAAATTTCTATTATAGTACTGCTGAAAAGCCTATAAAATGGAAGATCAAATGGAATTCTATCAAAAAATGTGCGCAAAAAGAAAGATTGAGAAGTGCAAATGGTATTAGAATGAAAAGGAAAGATGCATTAGTATATGAAGCGATGACTCTAAATTGATTCCCAATCTAATAATTTTATCTCTTTTTTTTATTTAGCAGCCGAATAGTTGAATATTATAGCAATTATTATTATTTTGATTATTTGAACCAATATTCTTTTAATTCTAGCTGATTAGTTCAAATAAGGAGCGGAAATTATAAATTTTTTAAATTTAAATGTCATTTTTAAATTTAAATGAAGTAAGTTTTATTTATTGTTCTCTCATTTAATTTGATCGGATTGCTTATCAAACAGATAAATATAGGAATGATATGAAGGCTTCTAATATGAGATCTGTTAGGTGATCGATCGGTGACATTGAAAAGAAGGAATGATTTGCATTGAATATTGATGATTCCAGCAAATGACATTATGACATCATTCTTACTGATTCTACTGCCAAAACGATTTAAAGCATCAAAAGCCAAACTGATCCAATCGCTGTGATCGTAATTTCCTCTCAAAAAATTTCATTCAGCTCATATAATCAGGATGAAATGTACAACAACTCACAGGTAATTAGTCTTAGTGATAATGATTAATCATACTGATAATTACTCTCTGATAATGAAATATCTTCGCCGTACATTGCAATGACTTCAGGAAAAAAATAAGTAACGCAAAGAGTCATTTTTATAAAGAGAAACTTGAAAGCTTAAAAAAGATACTTCAATTAAAGCAAAGAGTAACTGATTTGCCAATAGATACTTCAGGTAATTTGCCAGAGTAAGATTGAAAGATACTTCAGGTAAAGCAAAGAGTAACTGATTTGCCAATAGATACTTCAGGTAAAGCAAAGAGTAACTGATTTGCCAATAGATACTTCAGGTAAAGCAAAGAGTAACTGATTTGCCAATAGAGGTCAAAGCAAAGGTCAAATAGTGGAATATGTTGCAGTTATGAAAGCAAAGAAAAAGAAGGCTTATTCGACGCACATGAAGAAAAGTAAACAAGATTATGATAAATAAAGCATATCAGATTAGCATGAAGGATCGATCTTGGCAGAAAAACCCGAGAGACACCTCAAACACGTACTTTACGTCTCAGTTAAATTAGTAATAAGTAGTTTTATGGAGCTTAAAGTACAGCATAAAGCTTTTTCACTTGTTTATTAATAGCATAGAATTTGAGATATCATTGATGAAAGTCAGTTTACAAAAGTTTCTTTCTCCTTTGGTAGCTAAAGTCTTCTTGTATGCATAATAATACTATGAATTATAAATTTAGGATATTTAAATTTTCTGTCATTTGCATTGCGCGTACTTTCCGCTTTTTCATGGATCAAAAATTTTTAGTTCCATAAAATTTGCAACATTTCAGAGTTTCAATGTTATCAGTAGCGATTTCACTATACTGTCTAATGCTTTATCACTGATAATCATAAGTAATAAGTTTAGATCAGTAAACACTTGAAATGATATTGGAAGAGTAACGACGAAGGACTTTTATGAAACTTTTTGCAAGTTTTTATTTTACTTTTCTATTCATTAACAATTATAACTTCTCACAGTCATTTCCATTACTTTCAAATTGTTTTTATTTTATATAATTATCAAATATGAATAGTTCACATCGATCTGATTGCTATTAACGATATTTCATATACTTATTTCATCTTTTTAAGTTAATTTCAGCCTTAAAAGTTCAAAACAGACAAACATTTCTCTTAAAAGATTCAGTGATTGTTCCAATTAGTCTAAAAAAAGTTTTATTTTCCAGGAATGAAAAGGAATGATATCAGAGAACTCTCCATTACCGTCTTTATCGGAGTAATCACCATTATCTTTATCATGATCACTATCATTATCATTATCAACCCAAAGGTCAAGGAACACTGTGGTTAAACTTACTTTGTTTGAATTTCTAAATAGATAAGAGTAAGCTGATTAAGTTATCACACAGTTTATTCCATTTCACATTGATATTTGAATCTAAATTTAATAAAAAATCTTTTGTGTTTGACAGCATATTAAACTATCCTATTTGCATGAAAATGTTAACAATTCTTAAAGTTTGATGTCATTCAATTAAATGAGAAAAACTATAGAAAAATTTATGTTACATAAAGTTATGCATAATATTCATAAATAATCATTAAATTGAAGCGATTGACTTACATTTACTTACATTCATTCTTACACCAAAAAAAAAAAAAAAAAAAAAAAACGAAACAAAACTTTGAAATGTAATTACATATGGAAACAAAATCCATGAAAATAATTATATCTGAAATAACTGATAATGGAAATATTCCATCCAATTATTGTTATACTTTAATAAAGTTTGCAACAGTTAATTAAATCTGAGAGAAGAAAGCAAAGATATCAACTTGCTTCACTTTAATTAATTTGCAACTCAGAAAAGATTCAGAAATTGAACCATTGATCCTTCGAAAAAACAGTTATGATTTATGTCGCTGCATAGCGGTGACACTAAAGAGATAAGGTTGACATTTGCTAGTGGTACACGTCATATTAATTAGCTAATATGTTAAGTTGAGTACTTTAGTTAAGTTAGCTTTAAATTTCAATAGAGTCAGTGGTTTTCTTAATGCTAAAACAATTAATTGAAGGTTTTTTGTGGCATTCCACCATATTTTAAATTTCTTCCACTGTGCAAATCCAAGTTTCTTCAATTTCGATTGTGAGATCGATGTATAAATTTGTTGATAAAATCTTTGCAGCAACCCAAAAAGAATCTTCCACATTTGACGACCACATTAACTCAAAAAAGTTTATCACTTGGCTTGTTTTGTTGACAACCACTGACTTACGTACACGTTGGTCCAAGATATTCTTGTCCCATCACTTCAAATAATAATAATAGGCCAAAGCAAATTTGCAGCACATCTTTATTCTCAGGACATTATCTCCATATATGTAAATGTCCATTTAGAGGAAGCATTTTTCATTTGCTGTCATTTCAAATTTTTAAAAATGTTTATCAAAACATAAGTTATAATGACAACAGCGCACCGTTTCTAGTAATGTATTTTTATTATAAATTTATGAATGAGACAAATGACCCAATCATTTGATTTGAATTGAATTGCTCTGTTTCTCCACTCAAAATTGATAATTAATTTGAAAGGGTTCTTTAAATGATATTTAAATGATTTAAATGATATATTATTATCTTAATATACACACGTAATGTTAACAAACGATACATGTGATCCAATTTTTAAGAGATACTTCAAAAATTTCTCAGCCCAGTTATTTTGCAAATTTTATTATTAACTCTGTGAATCCTTCCTTCATCATTCATTTAATGAATCCTTTCTGTAATTTCTTTCTTTTGTTGAACTCACTTCAAATAAAATGACCAATGGATTTGAGTAGTATTAGAGGGACAATAATTCATAGAAACGAAGGATATCTATGTCATATGCAAATTTATTCATAAGCACTTAAAATAAAACAAACTGTCAAACAAATTGTCACTTTTTTTTGTAAATTTTATTTTGCACTAAATGCAATTGTCTCTTCAAAAATTAATTCAATTATTTATTTAAATGAATAATATGCAATTAAATAGTTTAGTTTTACAAATTTTTTCATGATTTCCGTTTTTTTTTTTTCTCAATTCTTTCATTTTGTGTGAAAAAAACTTGAAGCGTTTAGGATGATGCATCGGTGACATGTCATCCATCGAGACGATCACAACTTGTATCCTTGAACTGATACAATGAATTCAATCACCCATTTTTCATTCCAGTTTCATCTCCCTTTTGTTTACTTTACTATTTCAAAATAAAAATGTCGTTTTCATCTAACGCAATTTTGAAATGACACAGAAAAAAAATATTGTTTTATTAAAATTTACTGTTTACAGCACAGATCACACTATAGAGAGACACTTCACTGAGATGACCAACTGAGCATAATGCGGAAATGGTCAATCAAATATTTTCCTTTCATTTAAAAAAATTGATGACATAATTCAATTCAAATCATTGTTTCTAAACAAAATTGAATGTACAATAAGACAATAAGATTGGATGAAGCCTATTGAAACACAGAAATACTTACTTATTTTATCTTTTATGTATTATTTATATAGGATTAGCACTGTGCTTTATAATGAACTCTTAACATCGATGCTAACTCTCTTTATTCTGCCAATTATTTCATTTGTGGGATTTTCTGTACTTTTTATTTTGGTGACTGTTAGTTATTAACTCTGTGATTACTTTCTTACTTATAACTTAGTAATAGTACCTCAGATTTCAATTTCGTTTTAATTTATAAGAATTAAAGCAAATGATCGCATTCAAATTAAAACTTCTTTTAATTCCTTCCAGAGAGATAACAATGCGGTAATTCTGGTTGATAAAGTAAACAAAATTGAATATTCTGTGAAAAACTGAAAGTTCATTAACTGATGCCTCAGCACACAAAATACCATTCAATCAACAAAGAAAAGTAGATGAATCATCAGACATTAGATAAGGTATGAGAGGAACCGGATCTCTGAGAAAACCTTCTTTAATATAATTATTCAAACAAATTTGAGGACTGATCGTACGAGGGATGGTTTTTCAACGCATCACTAAGCTCTTTATGTGGCGATGACGACTTAGGCAATACCTTCTACTCATGGCAAAAAGTATTTAACTTTTCATTTGATCAGACTTCTATTACTACCACAAAGTTGTACTTCACAATTCCTTCTTAAAGTTTTCATTTTCAGAGACTTTTCTTAAAAAATTAGCAATTTCATTCTTGAATTTCATTCTTGATGCTTTTTATCAATCGATTGATTTGAATCACCCAAATCTGATTGAAATCAGTAATGCAAAACGAAGTGCACCTTCAATCATTTATAGGGATTGCAAATAATTAAATGTCTTCTGCACTAATACTACTGTTAGCTTCATTTCTCATCATACAATCTGGCAACACAAAATTCGTAAAATACTGTATTAGTGATGCGCAATGTGATCCAGGAGAACGATGTGTTCCGGAAATAACCGGATTAATGCTCTGTCAGCAAGCCTTAGAACAAATGCCCACAACACCAACGATATATCCTGCACAAGTAACCTGCACTTGATATCTCATTAAATTATTTGAAATGAAGAAAAAAAAGTTCAAAATATTTATCATTTTATAGTCAAGACAGATTACATGTCAAAATGATGCACAATGTCGTATACTTGGCAAATGCATATATCTTGGCTGGCCTGGCTCTTGTCAGTACGCATCGCTTGGATGGAAATGTAAGTTCAAAATTGACCCGAAAGATCGAATCATCAAATTAGTCATTTGTATTTTTTAATAGGGTAGATATTCTGTGCAAATCACTTTAACTTATATATTAGGATGACTCATACAATTTAATAGTATGACTCATTTTCAACGTCAGCAAGAATTATTAGATTTGATTTTGAATTTATAATTGAGAAAGCTTTTATTTAGTTTCATTAAATTCAGTGACTGATCGATGTTACAATGACGCCGACTGTGCTCAACACCTGCACTGCATCAATACAAATGGCATGATGACTTGTCAGGTTAGTCTAGTGATATGATAAGACCGGATAATCGTGAAATCAGTTCCAGCAAATCGAATTTCATTCAGGTCATCCGGGATGCGCTGCCGTACAAAACGTGTCAAAGCAACACGGATTGCGATCTATTAGAGATGTGCTCCTTCAGTAAGCAGTATAATGCTAATGCATGCATAGTATCGATTGATTATCGTAAGTTGATCATAAATTTATGCATAACTCTTAAAATCAATCGATATTTTATTAGAGTAAGTTATTTCTCCTTTGATCAAAGTTTGCATATTTCTAGCTACGGCTAAAATGAGTCCATTTCGAAGTGATGAAATTGGAGGTGGTGCTGTTCCGTTGAGTCTTACTGATAACCGTGCTATTTCAAAAGGCTATGAAAAGCAGTGTACTGCTGATTATCAGGTAGGTAGTAGCTTTTCCCTTCCCTTCTAATCATATCATCTTATCAATCTGAAACTTAAAGCCACTTCACTCATCTAATTTGTTTATAAAATTAAACTATCTTCTCCTGAACATCTACATCATTTTCTAACTTTCAGTGTTCTGTTTTCGAGATTTGCACAGAAGAAAGTATCCCAGGTAATCGCATCTGCACTTATAATCCAACAACAAGCAATCGACAATGTCGTTTCAATGCTGACTGTCAATCTGGACAGGTACACACTATCCACTATACTAACATTTCAATCATTACCTCACTTCCATCCTCCCCTCTACCTCTTATTTGTTAATATCAAAATTTAAATTATTTAATAATTATAATAAAACTAATTTTTCCAAAGTTAGTTGTTTTCCTGCATTTTTGACAACTGAAAACAACTGAAAATTTCATCTAATTAAAGAGAATAAATGTTAATTTTAGGCTTAGATTAGAGTGAGATTATGGAATTTACTCATTTCGAATAGTTTTAACAATTCTATTATGTGATAATTGGTCTGAATTATCTGATTTAAATTTATTGATTTCAACTTATTGAAATTTTTCAGCGTTGCGAGAAAGTTTTAGAGAATTTTTATTTGTGTAAAGCTGCAAAACAGACGACATTCATGCAACCGTGCCAGTATGATTACGAATGTTCGGGTGGTCAGCGTTGTATTAATATCAGCAATGGCATCTCCTCTTATCAGCAGGTAATATTCTGATATCAAAACTTCAAAAGTTGATATTTCTAATTATTCCAAAATTAAAATTAAAAAATTTATATTTGATTCTGTCCACAAGTGGTAATGATGTTGCAGAATTCTCGATATTGCTTCTTACTGGACGAAAGATCAAACTGTGACAATGACATGGATTGCTCGGATGCAAAAGTTTGTAATACTTTTGGAAAGTTCAAACAGTGTGTACCAATCACTTCCAATTCACATTTTAAATTGTAAATATGAACAGAATTAAGGATTAAAATTGAAAAAAACGTATTTTTGCAAAAATATCTTTTGAAGCAATAATTTCGAGAAACATTCTCAGATATTTTATAGAATTTTGATTATTTCATTTTATAGAGCACAAAAAATTCTTCGAAAAGAATTTAAATGTTAAATTGAATTGAAAAAAGACAAATGGAATTTATATGTAAGAATCATAAAATCTACTGTTATCAATATCTCATTTTGCACTGCTATATATTTCCTCCTCCAATTATTTACCCAATAATTGCACATTACCCAGTATCAATAGCTATCCTCAAATTTATTACTTAGCAATCATTTCAATCGATAAAAGTTTATTTGTAATTCAAACAAGGAAAGAAATTTAAATTTTGTTTTAATTAAGTACTAATAAAGTCACAAAATTGCTTTTCATCAAAAATATTTTGAACATAATTTACATTTGGATATAATTATTTGATAAAGAAAGAATTCCAAATGTTAGCATGGAATAAAATTAAAATGCCGAAATGAATAAAAATTGTAATCAGCAATAGTTTCAATTCATTTTTAATTGTGAAATAAATTTAATTTATGAATTGAAGTGTGCATTGTTATGAAAATCTTTCTGTATTTATAATTCCTATAAATTTAACCACAAAATAAAATTGAAATTTGTTAAACTTTATTTCATTAAGTGCTAACAGGATTAGAAAATTGCAATTGTAGAAATTTCCAGAAAAGTGTACACTTTAAACTTAATTGACACTGATCTGCTCACATCCAGACAAGGTCAAATGTCATTTTCAAACAAAATTTAAGTGGCTGAGTTAATAAAAATTGTAACTAGCAATAGTTTTTTCATAAGAAATATGAGAAACTTCATCTATTTATCGATTAAAATAGGTCAACAATTTAGAGCTAATCATTTTATTATTATTTTAACATTTAAAAGTCAAATAATTTATAATCATATTTTGAAAAAATTTTGCTAGAAGCGGAAGATCATATCCACTGATAATATCGCCAAGCAAAAATGTTAAATAACTTCAAATAATTTTTATGGTTTAATGAAAATTCAAATTTAATTCGTATTATTATCAATTCATTGTTAAAATTAGTTGAAAAAAAATAACAAATGAACATTGGAATTCTAATATTAAAAGCCAAATTCATTGCTGCGCTAGAAATATGCAGAATTTCATTAATTTATTGCTTAAATTGAAGTGAAAAAATTTTGGAATTAATCATTTGATTAATATTTTAACATTTGAAACTGAAAATAATATTGTGAAATGAAAAATTTGCCGGAAACGGAAGATCAAATCAATTGATAATTATAATTAGATGGAAATTCGGTCATTTTCGACTGTCTATTTGCTAAATTTAAACTACTTTAATAGTAGCAAACCGATTTTTAATTGAGTGAGTTGAGTTGAGTTGAGTTGAGCTGAGTTGAATTGAGTTGAGATGAGTTGAGTTGAGTTGAGTTGAGTTGAGCTGAGTTGAATTGAGTTGAGTTGAGTTGGGTTGAGTTGAGTTGAACTGAGTTGAGATGAGTTGAGCTGAGGTGAGTTGAGTTGAGGTGAGTTGAGCTGAGGTGAGTTGAGTTGAGGTGAGTTGAGCTGAGGTAAGTTGAGTTGAGGTGAGTTGAGCTGAGTTGAGTTTGAGCTGAATTAAATTGAGTTGAGTTGGGTTGAGTTGAGGTGAGTTGAGTTGAGGTGAGTTGAGTTGAGGTGAGTTGAGCTGAGGTAAGTTGTGTTGAGGTGAGTTGAGTTTGAGCTGAATTAAATTGAGTTGAGTTGGGTTGAGTTGAGGTGAGTTGAATTGAGTAAAATTGAGGTTGAGTAGAATTAAATTGAATTGAGTTAAGATGAGTTGAGATGAGTTGAGTTGAGGTGAGTTGAGCTGAGGTGAGTTGAGCTGAGTTGAGTTGAGTTGAGTTGGATTGAGTTGAGTTGAGTTGAGGTGAGGTGAGTTGAGTTGAGTTGAGTTGAGGTGAGTTGAGTTGAGTTGAGTTGAGTTGAGTTGAGTTGAGTTGAGGTGAGTTGAGTTGAGTTGAGTTGAGTTGAGTTGAGTTGAGTTGAGTTGAGTTGAGTTGAGGTGAGGTGAGGTGAGTTGAGCTGAGTTGAGTTGATCTGAATCTTTCGAGAAGACCCCAATGCGAAATGCAATGGATCTTTACCCAAAATTGGATGTCATATCCATCGTCAAACAAAATGCTAAATAAATTCAAAATTCTTCTCTATTTCAATGGAAATTCGATTGAAGCACCTTAAATCTATCAAATATACCGTCAAAAATGACTAAAATATATTAAATATATTTTAAAATATATCAAATAATATATTAAATTATTATTATTAAATATTAAAGAATGAAAAGCTAAAAAATTTGCACTCTATCTTTTTCTCATCATTTTATCATTTAAAATTAAAATTCAAAGTGATTTATAATTGTCAAAGCCATCTTATTGTGTTGCACTGATCGGCCACATACAAATTTCAGAACTTTATTCCATTACTCTAAGGACTGAGTCAAATGCGAGTACTCATAAGTATTAGCAAATAAGTTGACCGATTGTTATTTGTTTCCCCAACAATAAACAATTACATCGATGATTACATATGATAAACAATCTTATTACTATTATTAGTTGTAGTTTTTATCAGATATTACGGTGATAATAAAAACGAATTAATAATTTCTGTTGACATTTCATTTTAGTTAGAAGGAACATTTCATTTTAGTTGGAAGGGACATTTCATTTTATTTTTTATTGAAAGTAGTAAAGAACAAAGTTTGAAAAGTTTGATTTGACATTCGAACTGTCAATTATCTAAATCTGCAAATAGACCATATTTCCTATTACTACAATGTTAGAATTTACAGAATACTTATAATCGGAATAGTTCCTTGCTTCTTACTGTCCTCCCTTACTCTCGACTCTTTGATTATTCTCGTGCAAATGTAAATGTGAATAAAGAAATAGAATATATATATAAATTATTAAATTATAAAAAGAAGTAAATTTGAAATTGAAATTGCTATTAAACGAATACAGATTATTCAGTAAATATGTCGTAAAATTAATTCCACCAGTAATGTCTCTTTGAAAATTGACAAATAAGTGACGACAAAAGGAAATTGTCGTGTTGTACCAGTAATGGACGACGACACAAGTAATGATCGATTTATTTGAATTACAAAAGATAAGAAAAGCTAACGTATATTTGTTATCATTTTTAATTATAACACTTTCATTTCTATCTTATATATTCAAAAGTAAAACGAAAGTATGAGAATAGCAAAATAAAAATATGATGAAGAATTTTAATCATTCGAAGACATCAAAATTTTAAATATACAAATTGATTAATTAATTAATTTCTACTAGAGTTTCGCTTTGAACAGTTTCCATTACCAGTTTATTGTTCGTATGATATATTATCATAGATCATTTCATTCCTGAAACATTTCAATCGTTTTTTTCTCTTTTGAGATCAATTTAATAAGCGAAAAGTCATAGTTAAGCCAAATGATCCCTTTGTCTCATTTATCATTTGTTATTGATTAATTTATTAAGATCACTTACAAAAGTGATATTTTGGAAAGGAAAGAAAAAAATAGATCATAAATTACAGAAAGTTAAAGTTCTTTTTTCTGAGAAATAAAAATGAACAAAAATATCTACCTCTTCTTCATCTTTTTCCTTGAATTCTTCAAAGTTATTATTCATAGCTGAAAATAAATTTTAAGTAATAAAATTTTAGGATCCACTTTTTCAGTGTCTCAAATAAGCTAAGCAAATAAAACAATAACAACAAAAAATAACCATCAATGAAGACATAATGATTCTCCAAATCCTGAAACATATACCAGACGAATGCTAAGCCAAAAGCAAATCGCTTTCCAAAGTATGATGAATGCCATGCATCATACATACTGTAAATTAAATAAAATAAAATATCAGAAAAAATTTAAAAGTTTTTTTTTTTTTTGCTTTTGCAATTTTCATCTAATAAATTTTGCTATTTCAATCTTTGCAACCTTACACTTAAATGACTTTTTTGCTTTTTACTTTTTTTATGTAACTTTTAATGAGTTTTTTTTTTTTTTTTAAATGTGATTGTTGATGAAAGAGAAACATAAATCAAATCATATTAATTACTCTATGTCATATCATCATCTCTTTCCATTCCTGCTTGATACAATGATTTTACTGAAATCAGAAGATTCACCATAGAACCGGTTGGTTATTCAAAAGCAGAAAACTTCGTCAGGAATTTAAATTCAGTTTTCAAAAACAGCCCGTTTCATCGGTGATTCCATTATTTAATTTCTTTGTACTTCTAATATCACTTAAATCTCTTTCAAAAAAAAAAAAGTGCCAATATTATTTGCTGCTTTTTCTCTACAAATTTCTCATTGCTATAAGTTACCTCAAGGAAGTGTCACATATTTTTTGAAATGAAAGGATAAGATTCCATGTATCAATCAAGAAGGCAATAAAATGATGTAAACATTTCAAAAATAAACATTAGCTATCAAATTTATCCCTAATTCTAATGAAATTTATTTCAGCCTATGACATTCAATAATTTGTCATTTTCTCATAAAATAAATTCTAAATTGGATAATCTCTAAGAATTACTGAAAATTCGAAATGAATACAATGAATGTTTGAGCCTGAAATCAATGATTCAGAGTTCAGTATCAAATCATTCGAAGAAATACGTACCGGCCGGAAAGTTTTCCCCATAGTGAGCTCTGTTCCCAGTCCTGTTTTCTGAAACGTGGTCTGTAAATTGGTTCTTCGATGAATGTGGTACATTTGGATCTGAATGGTACCACCAGTTGTTTCACCGGTAATTTGTTGCAAAGCGAGCGTTGAGCTACAGTTGTTGTTGTCTTTGCGATGCACATTGTTCACTTCAAAAAAATATATTCAAATTTGATGGGAAATGTGTGAAATCCTATCAGACTGAAAATTTAAGTGCTTCTATAAGTCT